GGGCAAAACTGTTTGAAATGAGCAGCTTGTCAGGTATCGGATCCTGTCATGAAAATGATGTGTTCCTTTCGCAAGAATGAGATGACAGCTGCCCAACTCATGGCTGAACGTTGTCAGAAGTGTCACAGTTGGAAGGAATGTCCCTGCTTTCCTTATCTTCAGAAGCTACTTGTGCAGGTTTAGGAAATGTGTGTTGTTTGGCAGAAGATTCTCTCCAAGTGCTTTAAAGTTGGGAATTTTATGACGAAAAAATAGCTATTATTTGATTCTTTATTTTTTAAATGAAAATGCTGCCCACAAAGATAAAACTTGTTCTCCCTTGATTAATTAAATTAGCTAAACTAAAGGAAATTGGTCATTTACGTAACATGTTGCATTAATCATGCCATTAAAAAATGGACATTTCTGGCAATGTTCTTGTGTGATGCAGTAAATTTGCAGTGTTGTAAATAGAGTATTTTTCTGTTTAAATAGAGTATTTTATTTCTGTTTAAAATAGAATATTTTACTGTTGTAAATAGAATATTTTTCACACAGTCAGGTGGGTTTTCTAATATTTTTTTTAAGGTAAATAAATTGAGAGAACTCTTTGTTTTATTTGTGAGAGTGCCAATGGCAGAAAGAAATAAAGGTAAAAAATGGAAGTAAAATGTATCTTTCTGATTAGCATGTATTTTTTCTTGTGTAATAGGTGGTCAGGAGGGCCATCTCAAGCTACATTTGATTCATTTGATTTAGTGAGCTCTCTTAAAAAGAAAAATTCCCTAATTGCTTCCAGGGAACAGTTCAAAGCACAGATATAAGAAAGAAGACAGAAAATATATGCTTGTATGTAATATGACTCATTCATGCTTACTTTAATCACAGGGGGCCTTTTAAATACTGATTATTGTAAAATATTTGAGTTTAAAGTGTCAACATTTGAATCCAGAGTCAGGTAATAAATGTGTGTGTGTGTCCCCTTTCTTTTCCTCCCCTTGGAAAATACTATTACTGTTAAATAGGAACTTTCTACGGTCGTAGGCAGATTTGTAACGCTTTACATTATCCATTGGTGATAGATTTAGAATTTGTAAGACAAATTCCCTCAGATGTCCCTTTTCTGATATTAGGAGGCTGGCTGTCATTTTTATGGTGGTGTATTCTGCAGAAGTGACTTCAACTGGAGCATGTTGGCATGCATGGTACTCGTCTTCTCTGTCCCTATTAGTAAGAGGCCAAAGTCCCCAATTTGAGAAGTTTATATTATAAGAAACAGAGCTAGGAAATTTAAGCCACTGCTTAAATTAATTTAACTTTGGGTTTTGGCTGGATTTTCTTGTTTGCACGAAGAGGCTCCTTTCTGGATAATCTAGAAGTCTTTTATACAAAATATACCCTATGCACCTTAAAATTAACTTCGTATGTAGTGAAGACTTGAAATAGCCATACATTTATTTATTTTTTTTTACATTTCAGCATAGGCTTTACTAAGGAGAAATCTGAAATCAGATGTTGACTTACTTAGGTATGCTCGGTGGAAAATTCTTAAAGAGCAGAGAATACTAATCCCAGTGGTAGAAACAGACCCCACAGATACAAAGCTTTTGGACAATGAACAGCACAAAACCGATACAGGATGGGGTCACAACCTTCTGAATGAAATAGTCACCAAGCAAGAAGTGCAGTGCTGGCGAGACTGCCTGGTTTGGGCATCTAACAAGGTAACGGCTTTGCTTTTTAGTCCCAAATGAAGTACAGTGTAGGGGCAACCAGAAGAGTGGTCTTTACACCAGCAGTTTGGTGTTAGCACATATTTAGGATTTGGAAAAAATTGAAAACTGAAATTGAGAGCATGTGATGTATCAACAACTTGTAGGAAACATGCTGATTTCAAAATTAACCCTCTGCTTGAATAGTTAGCAGGATGATTGATTTCTTTTTAGTGTAACTGAATTTTATGTGTCCTGGGCTTGCTTTTGCAGTTGTGTTTATTTTCTTTTAAGGCTAGGTGGGAGAGTGTCTAAGTGAGCCTTAAGTCCTCCTAAAGGAGAGGATGGTCACCACTGGTGAGGATTTGTCCTCAACAAACTCAGAAAGATCCCTCTTAATGAAACTGTATTTTTCTCTGTATGTGTGAATTCTGTTCCAGTAGCCAACTTTTGGAAAATGAATAATGTAAGCAGAAAAATATAGTTGTTTTTCTGTTTTTAAACTAACAACTCAAATGTTATTCCAAATTGTGCCTCATGTCTGCAAATGTAGCTATTGCATTTTTGTAATTCCCATAATTCCCAAGGAGGCAGGCTTTCCTAGGTGCTGTATAGAAATGTATGAGCTGAAAGGAAAAAATAGAGGACATCTGTGGTGCACAGATGGAGCAAAAACTTAACCGAAGAATAAGCAATAGGACCAAGTTAAAGAAATAAAAATTAAGCAGTGGCAAAACTAGACACTGACCTTTTAAGGAGCTCATTTCTTCCTCCTGTAGTAGTACCCTGAAGTGAAATTTTGCATCGTGAGCCAAACTGGGAAGTAATATAATTGAACAAAGCCATCCTGACCAACCTGTACTTCTTTTTTTCCTTTAAAAAAACCCAAAAAATCCCCACAAAAAAGGGGGCTTTTAAAACCTGGTTAAATACCAGCATCACAAGATGTGAAACTACTGGCTCATAAATTATAACTACTTCAAGCACTGGTTGAGATAGATCGTGTGTCATCAGATTGCCCAACATCTGGTTGAGAATTCTTACTAGCAGAACATTTAATCACATGCTTGACTTAAAATGCATGCATTACTACCATTGTTGAAAAGGTATATAATTCCTTTTTGAGACTAACAGCAACATCCAGCTTGGGCTTGAGTCTACAGAAATAAAAAATAATTTTAAAAAAAGGAATTTGTGCGATGTCTCAGTACTGGTGGACACTGCTGAACTTTTAACCCCTCCTGGGATACGGCTGAAGCATAAGTGAGGGCTGGATTGTAACAGCTCATTCCCTTTGGGGGTTTTTGTTTGTTACCTTCAAGTTGTGGATGTTTTCCCTTTTATTGGCGAGGGTACCTTGGAGCTATGTGTATATCAGAACTTTAAACAGAATATCCTATCAGGATACCTTGCATCCTGAGAGGCTCAGTGTTTCTCCTTACAGAATCCCAGAATGTCAGGAGTTGGAAGGGCCCTGGAAAGCTCCCCCAGTGCAACCCCTGCCAGAGCAGGATCACCAGAGCAGTCACACAGGAACACGGCCAGGGCTTTGGGTGTCTCCACACAAGGAGACTCCACAACCTCTCTGGGCAGCCTGGGCCATGCTCTGCCACCCTCACACTCACAAAGTTTGTCCTCATCTTCAGCTTGAACCTCCTGTGCTCCAGCTTGGGACCATTGCCCCTTGTCCTGGCATTGGCCATCCCAGAGCAGAGCCTGGCTCCTTCCTCCTGACACTGCCCTTTCCCAATGGATCCCCAGGAATGAGGGCACCCCTCAGTCTCCTCTGCTCCAAGCTCAAGAGCCCCAGCTCCCTCAGCTGCTCCTCAGCAGGAGATGCTCCACTCCCTCCAGCATCTCTGTGGCTCTGCACTGGACTCTTTCAAGCAAAAACCTCTGCAGATCCTCACTACTGCTGAGTTTAGAGATGAGCAGCAGTTAGATCTAGAATTTGTTAAATAATGAAATGCAGTTGTAACTCTAGGGAAACATTTAAAAGAGCAGCTTGCTTTTAAAACGCATTAGCAATATAGTTTAATAATCTTTGAACATGATCTTTAAGTAAGACACATTTAAAAGTGGTTTTGGTGTTTCAGAAGGTGCTTGCTAATGAAACGGTGGTTCAAAAACGTTAGCAGTCAAGTACAGAACAACCTGATGTGTGAGAACGCGTTGTCCCTGACTCCCTCAGTGAAACAGCTCTCTCCGGTCTGAACCGTGCTAGCTAAGCAAGGGCATTTATTCAAGAAATAATGTTCTTGCAGAAAAAACAGGGATGAGCTGCTTGCTGTTTAGCAGCTAATTAAACATTTTTATGCGCAGCAGATGCTGTATGGCGTCAAACCCCTCCCAACCTTTAGACTGTTTGTCATGCTGCCAGTGGACTGGTCTTTCCCTCCACAGGTGTTGCTTTACTGCAGAGTTTGCCCGTAATCTGAACTGGCCGTGTTTGTCTTGCGTGGCTGCAATACCCATCGCATATCTTGATTTGGCTTTATGAACTTTCTTTGTGTGTAGCAATATAATAGGTCATTTCTTGCTCTTTGGGGAGAGTTTTGCAAATCCCAGTTTAATAGTTCCTAGTTTACTCCATCTGTTGATACATTGCCAGTATGCAAGTCTGCGCAGTAAATCTTTGTGAGACATAAGAAAGTCCTTCCTCATCATCTGTATAGGCTGAAATCTTAAACTGTATTCTGTTCTGTAAATCATTTATCTCTGTGTGCTTCAAAAAGTGGCCTACCTTTCCCCTTGAGGCAGTTGGTCTTGAATGTATTTATTTTTTTGGCAGAGAGCCATGAATGAATCATAGCTGAGAGCAGCTTGCAGCCTGAACTCCTCTCTACTGTTAATACAGAATACTTTGTGCAGTTGTTACAATGCTTTGCTATGTACAACTTTTAAGAG